TTTATACTTCTCATCCAAACACAATTAAATTCACTCTATCAGGAGACACAGTTTATCAGGAGAGGATTTTTTAAGTAATAATAACTCTGAAAAAATAGGAGTAATGACTTTCTACTTATCTTTTTAAAAAATGTAGAAAGTACAGCTAATTGTGTAAAATTGTAATGAGTAAAAGTAAAAAGTACGCTGAGAAATAATTGCTTAAGTAAAGTACAGATAACCAAATTTCTACTTAAGCACCGTAACAAAGTATTTGTACTTAGTTACTTTACAGCTCTGTATAGGGCTCATAAAAACACATTWCTGTGCAGATGGTGGATCTTCAGGCCCTCCCTCTTCTCACTAATTACCTCACCTGTTGGTGTTTCCACTGATGAGCTCCTGGCCTCTATAAGCTCCACCTGAACTTCTGGTCTTCGCTGATGCATCTCTGTTATGGTAGAGTACAGAAGCCACTCAGCTAAAGTTAAAGTAAAGTATTATAGTTACTTAACCTTTTGGTATCTTTATTTAAGGTTCCACCACCACGAAGTTCCCCCTGCCAGGATCGCCATCGGAAACTCTGCACAGGACGAATCACAACAAGGTTTTACTGTTTGGGTGCCTTATTGCCACGTGCCTGAAGATTTAAATAATCACCTTTGGATTAACAGCTCCTCGTCTACAAAAACCTGTGAGGGAAAATAATTTATTTTTTCATCGACATATTCATCATCAACTTCTCAAAGATGTTGTGGACTTACCTTGGACTCTTCCCCTTTTCAGACAGATGACCACTGCTGCACCTGTAAATAAAAACACTTACCTTTTTGTAATACTTGTCCTGTGTCTTCAGTGCCACTCAGTCTGTTTATGTCAATTACCTTCAAACATTCAGTTACACTTTGTTTAAAGAGAGCGTTGTTAAAATCTCAAAAGGATAGAAATGTTTGTTAAACCCACATTTAGAACCAGTTTAAAGGAACGGAGCACTTCAGTCCAGCATTTAAGATTATGGAAAAATCTGGAAGATGACATTAAAAAAGCCAGATCAATGAGAATATTTATAAAGAATAATTTGCTGGAGAAATATGTAAATGTATGAATTG